GATGGCACTTCGTTCTCAAAGTTTGCAGGTTGCAGCCCAAAAAAGATGAATCACTCAGTCTCCAGTTTCCTTCAGCAGCTCAAGTTTTATTCTTAATGGTTCCCGGCTGCTTGGCATCTCTATCTTGGGAGATCCTGTCTTTATGAGATGCGCTGACAGTTATCAAGAGTCAGAGCAAAACTCTCCTTGGGAGAAGTCCAACTTCCCCAAGATCTGGCAAGTTCAGACATTCCACACAGAATGTACACCTTCTTGAGAAGCCTCCTGGCCTTTGACCTCATGGCATGTACAACTCTGGGGATGGCTGGGTTTTGTACAATAAGTTTCTCCTTTCACGGGAACTGACGTTTCTCACCCTTTGCATGTAAAGGCCTTGTAGGGTGTTTGCCACCATCAATGAGGTCTTGACATGAGTGCCAACATGGGTCTGGCCCTTGAAAATGTATGAGCCGAGGAGGAACATGACAGATGACCTGTCAGCTGGAGCAGCGAAAACACCCTGCACACTGGGCACTTTAGACGGGAAGCTGCAAGACCATGGCTTTACACTGACCGGTTACCAGGTGACCTTGGGCAAGTGCCTGGGACTGACTTCTTTCACTGTCAGTGTAAGGGCCTCCTTCACACCTTATGAAGCTCCATGGAATGAAATTTGGACAAACTGGCATTAGGGATCTTTTTACGTATGAAAGAGAACTAGAAATAGGAAGGTAATGGCAAATTGAAAGGGTGCAACTATGCATACCAGAGGGTGCCGTGGTTTAGCACTTGGGATTTGTTTCCTTGTAAACTCACATTCTTTCCTGCTTCAGCAATATAGAGTGGAATTAAGTTAGAATAGTGTTTTCAGCAGTAAAGGACTGTTGAATTTTTGTTGAAAGCTTGCTTACAGCCTTCCCTAGGTCTTGATACCCTGTGCAACATTTTCTAGTCGTGAGCTGAAGGAAGTTTTACTTAAAATGTTGGCCAACAGCAGACAGCATAAATCGACTCTGGAGAATCAATGGCGGACAGTGAGCTATTATATCCACCCTGGTATAGGAGCAGAAACAACTGGCTTTTCTGAGGCCTAAAGAAAAAATTAATTTCAGTTAGGATGTTACCTAGGATTTATGAGCTGAGGACAATTTGTTCCTTTAAAGCTGACATCATGCATGTATACTTATCTCCAAACTCATCAAGTTGTATATGTTAAATATGTACGACTTTTTGTATGTCAGTCATACCTCGATAAAGTGGTTTAAAAAAATCTGAGAGACATAGGGCTCCAGATGGAAGAGTCTGTTACCTTTCTGGGAATGGGTAGGTGGGTGGGTGGGTAAGAGGACTTTCCAATGCCCATACTTTACATGATAGGAGTATATTTGAAGAACTCTGAAGAACTGGCAATTTGTACTTCTCATCAGCACTGCCATGGTTCAGAGCTTTGAGTTTCATGAATAGACTTGACAGGTTGGCCAGGGTGTGCTGCTAGTATTGTGGGTTGTGACTGCTGCCTCCATGCTATAAATCTGGAAACTTCTTGGATAAAATGTAAGAGGGCAGTAGAGCCAATGATAAAGTTCTTCCATGGGTCTCCTTTTCTGAACCAAGTTTGTCATCTAAACTGGTTTTAGAAAGCCATATCTGGTGAGATGACATCACTCATACTATGGAAACAAAATGAGCAGCTTCTAACTGAAACGCTGACTCAGGTCGAGAGCACCCACCTGCCTGCAGGGGTTCAGTGGGTGCAGACCCACCCTCCACTGCTCAGGTATGGAGGCCTCCCCTCACATTCTCGTTGCAAAGTTGACATGCAAAGTGCCAAATTGGAAGGTTGTCGATGTTCAAAAGTGGGCTGAAGTCCAGGGCCAGCTAATAGAATTAATATCATGTTCCATTAGATAAACTTGACTGTTCGTAGGATATTGGAGACTGAGAATTCTAACGTATCTAGAGGGCTCCAAGTTGGAGGCCTCAGGGCACTGTGGTATTTGCAGCAGGCCTTATCAGAGGCCTGAAGTATGATAACGGTAAAAATAGTAGCAATTATAGCACTCATTGTGTACCAGCACCATACAAATTCCTTTATTTATACTCCTTTTAACAGCCTGAAAATTTGATATTATTTGCCCTTTTTTCATGTGAGAAAAATGAAACACAGTAACCCAAATACACAGAAGCTTATTTCTCTTTCATTTAACAGTCCTATTGTAGATAGATGGCCCAGGATGACTGGGCAGCTCTTTGAAGTCATTCAGGGACCTAGGTTCCTCCTTTCTTGTTCCTCCACCATGTCCCAGAATGTTCTCCTCGTCTGCATAGTCCATTTCTTGTCAACAACATGTCTGTGTTCTAATTCTTGGGAAGGGAGAAAGCAAGTGATTGGAAGGCAAGCAATTTACTGTGAAGAAAGTGACCAGAAGTTGTACACATCACTTCCTATCTACATACCATTAGGGAAACATAGTTACATGGACACACCTAGCTACAAGGGAATCTGAGAAATGTGTTTATGATGGAGTGGGTATTTGTTTCACTAAAACTCAGGATGGAGGTATGTGTGCATGCACATGTGTGTGTTCTAATGCTAAGTAGAAGAAGGAAAGAATGGATTTTGGGGGGCATTTAACAGTTGCTGATATACACCCCTACGTAACATAACTTTCTTTAGAAAAAAGTAAAGTGCTTTGAAATTTAATCTGACAAGGCACTCTTGACCCAGTCATGCCTGCCCACTGAGTTGGTGCTAATGTTAATGTGAGGTGAGACTTTGGGGCAATGGCCTGGGCTGAGTGAATAAGGCGTTAAGCTTTGCTCCTTGCTGATCTTGCCTGAGGGAAGGTCTTAGTAAATCCTGACCTTTGCCAGACTTGTCAGGAGCTGGTCACTGATCACCCTCAGCAAATACTTGGGTCATCATCCAGTACTCAGGATCACTCCAAGTTAAGCACTCTCTCTTTGGAATTCCTACTGCTCTGGGAAAATTCCTTGCTCTGTGGATTCTAGGGTTAGAATGGTGGGGTCAACTTAGGAAAATAGTCCTGAAAGTTGTCAGGATGTTCTGCTCACTTCGTTCCTTCCGCTTATTCTGTGAAGACAGGAATTAAACAATTCCAGTGTTACTCTCTAATGCCTGAGATTAGATGTGGGCACTCTTTAATAATGGATTGACCTGGAATCTCTTCTGGGATTCTGTTCTAGGGCCAAACATGTACCTGAGGTTGGGCCACCACATTTCCCATTCACACCCCCTCATTTGAACTCTTCTCCAAGTGTACTGCATGAACAAAAGACATTTGGTTTCAAGAAATCTGAGTTTGTTTCATGCCACTTTTTCTTTTCATGTGTTTTTCACTCTCCTTGGGGTCTCCTAACCCCCACTGCCTTACCATCCATGCCCACACACCTCCCTGAAACATCTAACCAACCTCATCTGTTAATTCTCATTGCAACCTCTCTTTTTCTGGGTGCCTTCCCTCACTCCCCGGTCTGATTCAGGGGCTTCTTGCCTATGATCCTGAGAACCTTTGTACTTCTTTCTTTCTTTGTAGTGTAGTGCAGTTGTCAAAAATTGAGTATGAGTCAAGACTTTGCCTTTTTTTAAAAAAATTTTAAAGATTTTACTTTTCCTTTTTCTCCCCTAAGCCCCCCTCCACATGGTTGTGTATTTTTAGTTGTGGGTCCTTCTAGTTGTGGCATGCAGGATGCCACCTCAGCATGGCCTGATGAGTGGTGCCATGTCCGCACCCAGGATCCGAACTGGCGAAACCCTGGGCTGCCGAAGCAGAGCGCATGAACTTAACCACTCAGCCACCGGGCTGGCCCCAAGATTTTGCCATTTACTAGCTGTACAACCTTGGCAAGTTTTTGCCTCTTTGTAAGTCTCAATTTATCAGTAGTTTGATAATAAAAGTACCTGTTTTATAGGACTGCTGTGAGGTTCAAATGAGATCTTGCATATAAGTTGCTTAGCACAGTGTCTGGCACATGGGAAGCACTCAGTAAATGTTTGTCTGCCTCATATCTGAAAGTCATCCTCATATTTGGAGGATTCCCTTAGGATGAGCCCTGGAAGGACTGTGTCCACCTTCAAAGCTGAAAGGCCAGCTGGTGCTTTCCCTTTCCCATGGGGACCCAGTACTTGGGCAGCCTCAGAATCAGTGTTGCATCTCCCTGTACTACCTGGGGGGTTTATCCTGTTGAACTTGGCAGCAGCAAGAACAGCCTGTTTTTCAAAGTAGCCGTGGAAACAGGACCAGCCGCGATGTCCTCACCAGATCTTCCCTGTGGTGGGATTTTGGCTGTGGTCCCATTGTGTGGCCTCTCTTAATTCCTGCCCATTTTCGGCTTCTGCTTCTCCAAACTTCCCAGAAATTCTGTGAGCAATTTTTTTCCCTGAATGAATTCCTTGTATGCTTAAATAAGCCAGAGTTGGTATCTGCTGCTTACAACCAGAAGCCTGATCAGCAGAGTTAACTTTTATTATTGTTGTTGTCGTTATTTCCCTCATCACAGTATGCTGCTATCACTCTCTTATCTGCTTCCCCTCCTGCACACTGGACAGTCCTCAGCACAGCATTGTGCTCTGAATAGGCTTATTGAATGAGTATATGATGTCTAATGATAGATGAGAAGTAAATGAATGGATGAGTAGATGAATGAAGTATTTTCTCAGTGCTTATGATGATTCTTATAGCTCCTAACTTAGAGTTGAGGTGCTCTGAGTACCATCGACATAAACAGAGCTCAGATAATGCACTGTCATTTCTGCTATGTATTTTAATATTAGAAGGCCTAAATGACCCACTCTTTCAGGCTGAAAAAATTTACAAATAGTTGCTGAGGCTCCCTGATTGACACATGTTTTATCTTATCCTAGTTGTAGCAGGGGCTCCCCTGGAATAACCATAACCAGGTATATATTGTTTTGCCCTTTATGATGTAGGTGAATGCACGTTCCTTTAGTTAATCCTCACAAACTGCTGATTGATAGATATTACTATCTTGTTTTACAGATGAGGAAACGAAGTCTCAAAGAGTATAAGTAGCTTATAGAAGATGACTCACCAAAGAAATAGCAGAGATATGTCTCAAAGTAGGTCCTAATCTCCAAGTATTATGCTCTTGCTGTTTTACTTCTCCACCCAGGGAGTAGTAAACTGTCATCGAGGGTTATTTATCGAGAGTGCTTTTTAAATGAGGAAGTTGAATTATTCTTGTTGAAGGCACTAATCACATTATCTTGGGCACTCTGTTGGCAACATACCAGGAGGATTTACATAAGTCGTAGCCTAGCAGCTATGCTTGATGTTTTCGAATTATTCTGATCATTAGAAAACCAGAGAAGATTTTAGTACATATTACGATTTGCAATGTAATCAACCAAACCAAGCTAATTTTTGGTGGTACTAAATCAAGAAGCCTTGGCCAAGAATCCATATCCATTTTGTAGGACGCTTCTCCAAGATGTTCTTGAATTGTTTTTATCTCCCTCTCATATTGACTCAAAGTGCCCCTACTTTTATTTCTGACATTAGCAGTACCCACATCTCTGTGTTCCTTATAGGAAACGCAGATTCTGGATCCCATCATGCCTGACAGTATGAGCTTTTATCACAGTAGAGCTATGGAATTTGCAGACAGGAACTTCTTCAGAACTGTCTCATTTTATTCCATAGCCTTGTGGGCTAAAGATGTTTCGAAGAGGATCGCTGGATGAAATTGAACACCTCCAATGTGCATAATTCCTCGACATTGATAACTCTATATTGATGACAGGAAGCATTTATCTTGGTCCTTGGATCATTGTCTTTGGCAGAAGAACAAGATGGATGGAATTATACAAATTCCATTTTATGTTTTGTTGAGGAAAATATACACTTTTTGATAGGATAAATGACAATTTTGCTGGTTCACTTAGTCATCATTTGAGTATATTTAAATGTTCTTCAAGGCACCTGACACTATGTGATAGTATCCTGTTGATGTATTTGTTTACATATTATTTGTCTCCAGCATCTAGAACATGAACTCTGAAAGAGCAGAGCTCTTGTCTTTTCTGTTTAACACAGTGTCCAGCTGTGCCTGGCACCTGGTAGGGACTTGATAAATATTGATTGAATGAATGAACTAATGAAATAAAGTAAATTATTAGATGGGACTGGGATCTTGAAACCCAAATTCAATATTTTGGTAGAAATATTTTGTAAGAAATACTAAAAACAGACGAAGGAGATTATGGAAACATGATTAAATGAGCAAAATAAAGTCTAAATCTATCATCTTTATCAGATCCATGTTTCCTTATCTGTAAATTGGGAGTAATTGTAGTTACCTGGCAGGTTTTGGGGAAGATTAAAGTTAATTCATGTACATGTGGGTGGTATGTAGGTAAGTGCTCAATGAATATTAATGTAGAATTAAGAGTGGAGGCAAAGGAAGTTGTGAGGATTATTAATCCATAGACTGAACACAACATTTTCATGGGAATTCTGCTTCCAAGACTCAAGTTTTATTCTAATTTAATATGTGTGTTTATTCATAGGTATAGAGCTCTTTCTCTATACTTTATTTCACCTAATTCTCATTCACCATAATCTTGCCTAGTGGTTACAGATAGGAGTCAGAGGTAGGGCCCAGATTTGAGTTTGGAGATTCCCAAACTTTCTTTTTGGGAGTGGACCCTGAGCTTCCCCAGTGACTTCTCCTCTGGTCATGGACACCTCCTCTTGCCTACCTGGCCAGGCTTGCCTTTCCAGCTCACTTTTGCATTGCTTTTGTGGAATTCAGACCAGGAGCCCCTTGAGGGCAGGGACTGTCTCTATTGTTCTATTTGCAAAATCCTAGTTGCAGTCTGATTGTTTATGTGTTTATTAGCACAGGGTTGTGCAAAGATATTGCCCTACCTGGTTTCTTTATGTTCTGTTTAAGCAAATACACAGGAATTTTCCTTTGCCTCTCCCTCCACTCCATTTCCTGCTCCCCTCCCCTCACAGTCTGAACACCTTCTGTGTCATCCAGTGAACTCTGTGGGAAAGGAAAGCAGGTGGAAGCAAGCTTAATGGTAGGGTGGGAATGTCTGCTCCCAGTCCCCATCTCCTGTGTCTCCCCTGGCTTTTGCCTGTCTTCTCTGCCTCTCAGTTATAAAACATCAGATTTAAGCCTAGCTTGCTACATGTAGAATCATCAAGAAGACAATGCTGTTAATTATAGGTTGAAAATGCAAATAGCAAGGACTAGAGAAACTTCAGGTTGAAAGGAAGCAAAGGGATTCAAAGAGATGGAACTCCCACCATCCTCAGTTTAACCAGTGTTTATTGAACCCTGTGATGTATGAAGTACTTGTCCTGTAATTACCTCTCTAGCTTGCTGGACTGATGGTCATTCTTATCATACCTGGATACTTCTGGTGAGTGTCAGCTCACTCAGGAAGAGAGTTCAGGATGGTAGTTAAGGGCTTGGGTTTATTTTTGGAGGGAATAACATGTGCAGAAAACATAGAGTGTGGAAAATACATGGGCTGTGTGACATCAGATGAATGGTCAGCCACAGCTAAAGTTACAAAGATTGAGAGTCTTTTCCTCCATATAATCTAAGTTGTAGATTGCACTGAGCAAAACAAATTTCATGTCTTATGAATTTTTTCCCCAAATGATTCAAGAGTACATTCTAGGTAGTACACACAGATGCTTATGTAAAACTCATTTGGTAACAGGAGAGCATTTAGAAACAAAACAAAACCAAAACTGTTCCTGGTATTATTAGGAAGATAGTGTAGGTATGTTTCAAAAAGTAAAGCACTTTGTCAAGAGACTTAGTACTGACTGAGGAAAACTGTAGAATTATCATGTAGTAATCAAAGGAGGGAATTCCCAAAATATAAGAGATGATTGTAAGAGTTATTGATATGAAGGTAACACCTGGACTCGCCGCTGCTATTGAGGTAGCTTCAGTTGAAAATACGTGCTAACATCATCTTTTATAAGTGAAGTAGTGCTAAAAACTTTCTATTAATGGAATGTTAGTGCTGGGAAAGAATCATCACAATCTGAAGCTATCAGAAACCTTCCGAATACTTCAACTGGGATGGCCTTAAGAGAATATCTAGTTCAATCCCTTGTTTTACGGATGAGCAGACTGAGGTTCAGAGAGCATGGGTTTTAACGTCAGAAAGATTTGGGTTCAAATCCTTAATCTCTAAATTGATGATACTGTCTCTCAGTGTTTCTAGCCAAATGATCTCAGACAAATTATGTAATTTCTGTAAACTTCTGTTTCCTCATCTCTTAAGATGCTTTCCTCTTTAGTTCTGTTGAGGGTTAAATCAAACTCTATTCTTGTTTTTTTCTTAAAGATTGGCACCTGAGCTAACATCTGTTGCCAATCTTCTTTTTTCTTCTTCTCCCAAAGCCCCCCAGTACATAGCTGTATATTCTAGTTGTAGGTCCTTTTAGTTCTGCTATGTGGGATGCTGCCTCAGCTTGCCTGATAGGTGGTGCTAGGTCTGCGCCCAGGATCCAAACCAGCAAAACCCTGGGCCACTGAAGCAGAGCGTGGAAACATAACCACTAGGAAACGGGGCTGGCCCCTGAATTCTACTCTTAAATACTTCAGATCAGGCTCTGTGTATACTAGACCCCCAGTAAAGGATGGATATTCTTATCTCAGAGGGCTAACCCATCCATTTTTAGAAAATAGTTTTCATTGTCAGAATATTTTTTGAACCATAAAAATGTTATCCCTTTTGAGCTAGTAATCTGTAAAATGGGGATAATGGTACTTTGTCTAAAGAATGAAAAGATTTAAACATTAAGAAGTTCGTGGCACTACTGTTTATAATAAGAAAATTTTGGAAATCCATTGAAAAGCCTTATAACAGAATGAATTAAGTAAATTATCTTTTCTGAGGAATATTATATATCTATTATAATAATAACAGTAAAAACCATGAGGCAAGATGAATAAAAATTACAGTGTAATGTTGGATTTAACATGGTGAATCCCAAATTACATTTATATTATGATTATCAAAGTGTAAATGTATTTATGCATGTGGGCAAGAATTGGTAGGCAAAACAAAAATGAAAAGGACTTTTTGGTGACTAATGAAGTTCAGATGTATTTTTTTCATTTTAATTTTCATTACAATCACTCGGGTTATTTATATAAAAAATTGTCATATAAAATTTTTTTTAAAGAAAGAAAATGTTTCTCTTCTCTTCAGTAAGATGGTAACCTCTGACTGAAGCTTCATCCTTACGTTGCCTGAAGAGCCATATTATATTTTATGCTCTGCAGGACATTGTCTAAATGAGTAGAACCTTAACCACAAGATTGTGTAGGTCACTAGAAAATGATTTGCAAGTTCGCATGGTTGGGAAGATTTAGAGCAGAAATTCTCTGATGTCTTGTATTTTCTTTGCTTCCAAGCAGAGAAATAAGCAAAGAAAAGCAATGGCAAGTTAGCCAAGTCCAGTTTTACAGGAGATATGCCTTTAACCACAAAGGCTTCTCTCCTGTGTGGGCAAGTTACTACAAGGCGAGTGACTAGGGTGGTGAGAGGACTTGAGACTATGTCACATGAAGGCTAGTCGAAAGAATTGGGTCAATCGACTGTGAAGTGCTTACTGCCTTAAAATTTTTGAAGGTAGGTCAGGCAGAAGAGAGACTAGGCTTGTTCTCTTCACCTTCAGAACGATGAGCAGAACATATTGAGTGACAGAATTCAGCTCAATACCAGGAAGAATTTTTTAGTAGTCACAGATGTCCCGAAGTAGGATGGTTCATCTCAGGAGGTGATGAGCTCACTCTTCTTGGATGTATTGCCAGTGGAGGCTGATGACTCTAGTGGGGACATAGCATTGGTTGAGACTGGGGTAAGGAAGGTAGGAGATGGTTTTTGAGGTGTTTTCCACTCCTGAGATTGTGACTCTTCCTGGAGCTCTATTCTTACTCGGTGACAGCAAATCTTAGGGATCCACCCTCACCTCCTTTCTTGTCGCCTACCCTGAGGCACCCAAGGGAATTACTACCTGTCACCATGTCTCATATTGCCATTTCCAAAATAGGGAAGTTAGTGAACTATTAACTGTATCAATTTACTTTAGAGATTTGTGAAGATTAGTGAAGAATTGTCAAGAGATTAAATTTCCCTAAGGACAAATATTATAATTTGCCTGCAATTTAGGTGAATCATTTTAGGAGAAAGGACTAAAGATGACAAAATATTCTGACTCAGTATAAACAATATTTATTTTACAAACTCATTCATTCACGAAATATTTATTGAGACTATATAAACATTAGGAGTTTTCTCTAACCTACATAGCATGCATATATGACATTGTATAATGCACAAGATATAATTTAAGAACAATTGTTTTTCCCACACATCTTCCTGACTTAATCAGACTTATTCTAAATCTCATCTTATTCCTATTTCCCCCTCTCACCTACAATTTATAGTCCATTTACTGTTTTATTTTAGGATTTATTTTATTTTAGGATTCTTGGATATGTTCGGCATTTGGAAAAGGATATTAAAGATGATGATTTTGCTTTTCACTAAATAAACAGTGACTGTAATTTTTCCACTTTTCCAGATTATGCTAGTTTATGCACATAACTTATAAATAAAAGGGCATGAAAGAGAGGAACACTAGCAAATACAAGAAGAAGATAGGTTGTCACTTTAGTGGTTACAGTGAAGCAGCTTTTTCTAAGTGGTGCACAGGACGGAACCCTAAAGGAAGGTTTACTGAGTGACAGGTGGGTCTTCAAGGTAACTGAGGCCAGGAACACTTCTTTCCTTCTAAAAACAGGGAGGTCTGCATAGGGCTCCATGTTGGAGAGGAACTGGTCTTTCTACCATGTAGAGATTTGCATGCATTTAAAGAACAAGTAGGAAAGAGCATAATTGAGCTCAAGTAATAGATAGTGAGTACAAATGTGACTGGGAGATTGAGAGCTGTCTGTGCCAGTGGATTACCAATGGAGTGGTGGTGGGAGGGGTCATCCTCAGGTGAAGTGAGGTGGAGTGTATTGTCATAGAGAATTTAAAATCATTAATAAAAATAATAACCAAAAGTTGGTTTGCATTTTATTATCACATGCAGTCACAATTCTCAACAATGTCAGTGGTATAATACAGTTGGAGAAAATCTTTTGTTCTAAGTTTTAAACAGTTATTAGGGTAGTTAATAATATACGTGTGAGCTTCACAGTAGCACATTTTTATATCTTATCCTTTAATGAATATTGTTTTCTACATGGAAGTTCAGAAAACTCTGAGTTATGTAGTTGGTGCTGAGTACATGTAGACTCAGCTACATGGTTGGTTTTGAGAGTAAGTTCATAATGGTTTAGAATCTTTCTTGCTTGTTTCATATGTGCTTTGTGTCTCCAATACCTGTAGCCCACCTATTCCTGTGTTTAAACTGAAGATTTGAAATAAACAATGATAGCGCAGTGATTAGGAAGACAAAGAAACAGAATTTAAGTCACATGATTCTGCTAGTCTATTTGATCACTTAGAAGTTTTATTTGTGCTTAAAATTTAAAACAGTAAAACTACATATAAACTGTGAGATGTAATCTTTTTGCCTGGTGAATGCAAGTTTTTGTGCATTTGTGAAATATTCTATTGACCTTGAATAATACGTTTAAAATTGAAGTTTATTCTTTTGAATTAATTGTTTTAAAACTAAAGAATAAAAAGAACAATGATTATTTTATAATTACTGAAAATAATTTTCTTTTATAGAAGTGGAAATTTTAAGAAATGATATGTTTCAGGTGTTAAATTTTCTAGGTCCATCACTGATCTTTGGAATTGGGCAGCTGTGGTTCGAGTGCTCTGAGTTAGTGAATCATTCTAAACCTTAGCTTTCTCATGAATGTAATAAATACCTCCTTTGTAGAGTTATTGTGAGATTAGATAGGGGTAATGCATATAAGTACCTAGAACAATACCAGGAACATAGTAAATGCTCAATAAATGACAGTTTAATAATAATGCTAGAAATAATTGCTGAATTTTATGAAATGCATCACAGATAGGCTTTGTATATTAAAGAGATCCAAGCAATTAGAGACATTGAGAATTCTCTGGAGATAGTACACTATCCTTGCAAGGAGGTAATTCATTCATTTAAAAAACCTTTTTGGGGGGAGGGTACAAGCACCATTTTAGGTGATGTATATAGTAGCAAATAAGACAGACAAGATCTTATTCGCAAGGAGTCGACCAGCAGAATTCCAGTGGAATTAAAAGCCCCTTTAGGTACTCCTACCCGAACGAGCCCCATTTATGGTCAACGTTGTGGAGCTCAGAGTAAGTGGGAAGTAAGTGGAATCCCAGATGAGCCATGTGGTTTATTTGAAAGGGCGTGCACTGTGCAGTCAGACTGGGTTGCATTCCAGCTTCTCTGTGCATGAGCTGTGTGACCTTGGACAGGTCATTTCACATCTCTGTGATTCAGTTTCCTCATCTCTAAAATGTTCATAATAATGCCTGCCTCACAGGGTTCTTTGAGAAATAAATGCAAGAACAAGGATAAAGGACATAGCATTGCCCCTGGCACATAGGTGTGCTCAACAGATGTTAGTTCTCTTTTCCTTCTCTCCTTACCGAATTGTGCCTGAATATAACCTATCTCTGTTGGGTGCATCATTCTTTACACATACATACATATGAACGCATCACATTTGGTAAGACCACAGCTGGAAGGATATCGATTGATGCTTAAGTCAGATTACTCGGGGTTGACGTTGGCTGTTTATTCTAGTAGTGAGGATATACTTGGAGGCATGCCTACTGATAGTGTCTAGACCCCTCCATGTTTAGTAGAGCAGCCACATATTCCTCTGAAACTATAGACCTGTATACTTATTAACCTAGTTTTTAGACTAAGTACCTGTTTGCTTTTGACAAAGTACACATGTGAACTTCTTAGGCCAAATCTATTACATGAGGAGTAGGTCATCTTTAAACACTGTTGGTCATTGATACATTCTTTACCACCTTGTGGAGAAAGTTAGGAAGAACAAACTAAGAGTTTTAGCTTTTACTGACTTTTCTTAAACTTTTACTCTGTGGAAAGGAATTACTTATGGGAGAAAATCTATGTCCCATATAGATGAATGCTCATATAAAATCTAAACCTTAGTACTACCATGGAAGTAAGCAGAGATAGGAGCAGTTTCCTGAGGGAGAAAATGATTTTTAGTAAAGTAAGTGATACATCCTGCTGCCCCGTGTTTATAAACTTGTATGGTAATAATGTGACATCCCATTTGGATGAGATGGGCGTATGCTTTCCACCTCCCTGACAGAGAGAATAACAATATGCTGACCTCATGATGATTTTTATTGTTTCAAACTAAGAATAC